GGCTAGAAGCAATTTTCCCTTCTTTATATTTAGATTATTATTCCATTATTCCATACTTGTCTAATCCGAACAAAGTGTTAGTATAAAATTGCAATCCCCAATCCTCATCATAAATTTGAGTTTTTATGTAGTAGAAGTGGCTTTAAAATGATACCATAGCAACTAGATTAATTGTGCATGAAAATGATTATAACCTGTAGGTACATGTACGGGTACAAAAATATAGACTATCTGGAAGAGGCTTTAAGACTAAGAGCAGATTTAGTTAGACTAAGAGCAGATTTAGTTATGTACAAACCATATTTACGAGCATCAGGCACTATTATTGTGCTTGATTGTTACATCTAACCTCTTATTAATATTATAAGATCAATATTTTTTTCATTTACATGAGATCAATATATAAGAAATAGATGTGAAGTGTAGAATATATATCCAAGAAGTGTATGTGAGTGTTCTAAATTAAAGCATGTATTATATACTTGAGTACATAGGCCCGAATAAACATGTGCGCTGCATATAGTCAAGAAGTATCCAAGAGGTTTGTGTATAGACACCAGTACGGGTACAGCTTTCTAATAGAAGTAGCCAGGTAGCATAGGCTCACAGAGATGTCAACGAGTGTGAATGCAGTTTGCGACCGCGATGCATGTGTGAGAGCCTGCAAACTTCTAGGATACAAGAGTGGAAAATGCGTAAGGAAAATCATCGGCAGCAAACTCTACTGCATGTGCTGCACCATCTTTTGCAAGATTTTGCCCGAAAAATTATTAAAATGTACTATACCTATGTAGATTTTGGCATGCATCAATAAAACAAAATATTGTAAGTTATATAGCAAAGTTCTAATACCTTTTGGTTTTATTTTATTTTCTGTTACGTTATTTCTTGGAAGGCTAAATTTCACTAAAAATTTGGAGCATTTCACTTAAAACCCCTGTACTATGTTTATTCCACTAGATGCCCAAAAACTTTCCCATGAAACCTCCCAAGTTCACACGGTTAGTTTTAAACCTGCACTTGCCAAGCATGCGACTTCAATTGACCAAAATACCCCTCACTTGCTTCCAATGTTAGGAAATAATGAAACTTCAAGTTTTTTTCAGGGATGGTCTCATTATTCGAACTCGTTTAAGTGAAGAGATTTCTTTTTTGCAACTAATCAGGATATTGGGGTGTTTTTTTTCTCTTTTAGGGTGTTTGGGTAATTTGATGTTGATCAGTAACAAGTTTAGAGGGGTTATTTGAGATAACGTAAAACTTAGGGGTTTTAGTGGAAAGTTTTTTGAGTGTTTAGGGGAGTAAACAAAGTAATGGAGGGCTTAGTGGAAAACAGCCCAAACTTTTGCGGTTCTGTAAAATTTACCCTTCTTATATATCTATAATCCAGCAGAGCTCATATCTTTTTCTACTTTTACTGCCCAGTTTACATGTAAAATTACTCCAATATCTCAATACCTTCCGGAAATACAAGTCTACGGTAACTTGTTATTTGCAACAACAAAAAGGCAACAAGCTTCTCCTATTTTTACTGACTGTACTACTGCATGCCCGTATATTCTGGTCATCTTCTCCTCTGTTTTCTTCAACACCATCAGTATTCATGTCTACTTCCTTGATCTCCAGGATCTCAACTCGTCTGTTGGTCAATTTTCGTAATTTTATCGCAACATCCTGAGGATTGAACGTCCCACTGACGCTTACCCTGTTATGCTTCTTCTCTATTAGATGACTATCCAATTCTGAAAACCGAAACAAACAACCATAAATATGAAGTAACCATTAGAAGACTCTAAACACCTTGTAAAGAATCTAATTATAAAGGTAATTTGTTTTAGAACCACAAAAAATTTTTGGAAATGTTACTTAACGTCCAAAATTTTCACCTGAATCTATTTTCAGATAACCCCAACTTTTGGGGGTTATCTGAAAAAGTTTTGGGGATTTAGTGACATTTCCAAGCTTTTTTACGGTCATCTCAAGATGGACCAAATTTCATGAGGGTTTTCTAAAAAAAAAATTATAACCCTCGATCATCGTAAGTTTAAAATTTTGTTGTGTTGGGAGACACAATAAAATGCACGAGAGCAATCCTGATTCGAATTCCATTTAGAACACGCTTTTTATAGCGAGTTCCAAAAAGAAAATAGCTAAATAAGTAGTGTAGATTTCGACTCATTGGAGAAATGTATCTGGACATATTAGTATAAAATTATAATCTCAACTTTCATCATAATTTCAACGTTTTGCTTCAGTGAAAGAGAATTTAACAATATTGAAATAGACAATTCTAGCGTTTTCCGAAATGTCGTTATCAGAACTTACCATGCATCTTGAGGAGGGCTCCTCTGATCTTGCGATAGCAACCGCTGCAATCAATGTTCATCCTCATAGTCATGCAGTAGAACTGCAAATGAGAGAAATAAGAGGAGGGGGAAAATTTATTTCTGAAGACAAAATGAGAAGGAAAACAAAAATTGTCTCGACTTGAACTTGCCTTGCCCGCCATAAAGTTCATTGAGCTAAGTCTCAATGACAGTGATGCATTCAGGAGTTTGAAAAGGTTTTGGATAGACGAAGAGAATAAAAAAGAATTGAGGAAACTGGGCATATGGATTCCTTTACCTCTTCCTGTCATTGAGGTCATCCTTTTTATGGGTTTCTGGCTGAGAATCTGATTCTGCTTAGTCTGCAGAGAAAAGTTATCTTTGAACTTTTCCATAAATTTGGGATTGCTTTTTCCTTGATTCATTGGTTTACTTTGTCTAAACAGAAAAATCTTGACTTCTCGAGGACAAATCTTCATTCCACACACACACACCCCCCCACCACCAAAAAAAAAAAAAAAATCCCCCAAAAGAGCTTTATAGTTAATGTAACAAAATATTCACTAGCTTTCTATGGGTTACCTGCTAAATGCTAACACAATAATGCTGCTCCTTACCTTGACATGCAAACATACAGAAAAGTGTTAAGATAATGAGCGCAGCGGTGTGTTTTAAGATATCATTCTGGACTTTGGGGAGTTTTTGGTGCTCTATTGCAAAGTAGCATCTGGTTGTGCAATAACATATAACATGTTGGGTAAAGAGATCCTCTGGGGACCTAAATATAAAAATCCAACATGAAGAAGGAAGATCCAGAGAGTATAAAAGATAGATTTTGAAGTTTGTAATTCCACCGCCAACTTACTTTACGATACAATTTGTCCCAAACCGTAACCTGACCCTAAATCAAGAGTTCCTCAAGTCAAGAGTTCCACGAGTGTTCAAGGGCATTCACATATGGCGACTGGCCTATAGACTTTTTCCTATTAAAATATTTTACGACACGTTGGATTGGATGGTAATTCATTTTAAGGATAAATTACAAGAGCAATATCACACGTCCTTATCCTCTAGAATTCTGAATGTTCAATTAGGGAGCAAAATTATGCACACCGTGACACAAGCTAGAATTGATAGGGACAATGATTAATACACGTTAACTTGTTATTTGAATAGATCTGTTCGCATATACACAAGCACAAGGCTAAAGACAGAAATCAGACCTGTCATCAGAAAACACAAAAGGAGATAAACTGCATTGAGAATCAGCAATGTGCGTATCAGTAAAATCAGTTGGAAGAAGTAAAGCATTGAGAATTCTAACCATTATCTATTCTACACAGAAATATCTACAGCATTTACCCTTGCATGTTTAAATCCCTGCAGGTACCTAGAAAGAACAAAATTGTGGGAATGCAAAAAAAAACCCACATCATGGTCATTGGGACAAGACCAAGCTAGAACAAAGAGACATAGATGTAACAAGCATAGGATCAGTTCTTCCAATCTTACAGTTACTGTTATCAATAACCGGTAAAGTTTTAGGTAGCAAAAGCTCGCTGTATGCATCAGATACGGCTTCTATGTCCTCTTGGATGCTGCTACTGCTTCCACTATTGCATTCTCTTTTCCCATTTGAGCTCTCTTTATGTAACTCCCTTGATCTCCTTCTTTTCCTCGATGAACTCCATTTCAAGCTCTCGAGGTTGCAGACTTCAGAAAGGTTAGGAACCGAGGCTCTTTTCCCTGTTTCTGGGGATTGATCAAAAGACATATCAGCTAGTAATGATTTAGCCACATTGTGGTGATCCTTCAATTGATTCCACTTATTGTCTACCCAGTCTTGTGATGGTCTCAAATCACCAATCCCAAATGTAGAATCTCTCCTCTCCCCTGGAATATATCTCGAAAGTCAGGAAACAAAGAAAAGGTCACTTTATACCTGTATAAAATTAGTAACGATTATTTCGATATTAGAACCTCAAATCTTTCTTATTTTGAGATTAGTTCCCTAAATCACTAAAAATGCTATTAAGTTCCCGAATCATATAAGATGTTTGAAGAGATGTTTGATATTGGTCCTTGGTCACGAAATCCTTCGATCTGTCAAGCATGGCTCACTTACTACATAACTGTGGATGGGCAGCTGGGCAGCTATCAAACAAACCTCATTCTACCCCCTTTTATCTTTCCAGAAGCGTATTCACCCTCTCCGCTCCCAAAACCAACACCAAAAATCCTTCTCCCCAATTTAGGGTTGGGATTCTATTAGAATGGATATAACTAGCATTCCATCACAAGAAGTTAAAGTTGAAGGAATATTCCCTCCAATTCAAACAGGTTCTAACTGGGGGGACTAATTCCTAGAAACTTGTATAATTTGGGGTCCTAATAGCAATTTCAACAATTTGGGGGACTAATCTCAATATATGAAATATTTGAGGGGCTATACTGGAAATAACCCAATTAGCAAAGGCAAATAAATACCTAGGAAATAAACTCGAAGTTTTCCTTCTGCTTCTTCGCGGATAACAATTCCCTCCCACCAACCATCATGCCACCATGCATCTACAATAGAGCCAACATCGAGGTTACTGGAATCCTTGCTGCTATTTGAGGTGTAAGGACGAACAACCGGTCTACCATGCAATCGGATGCCCAATTTGTCTGGAGATGCGATTCGTGATGCCAAGACCCATTCCTACATAAGGATATTATTCGAAAGAATCAGACATGGTGATATATCTTGATACATATGTACACATATATAAACATGCATTTGAAAATATCACCAGATGACTAAAAGAGGGAAGAATTTAGCACGAACCAAGAGAATAGGTTGATTGACATGAATTGATTATCCTCTATGATAGTAGATAGAGTGAAGAGCTCTGCAACGCGAGCTGAATGTTACTTTCAGATGTTCTCTATATTTGTCACAGAACAACTACATAGAATTTATCATAAGCTATCTTGAAGAGAAGCACACTGCAATATCACACAATGTCAAGTATACAATGGTGATGTCATGATGTGAAGGATGTACTTTGATTCTACCCACTTAGGACCTGTGATATTAGAGATTTTTCTCTTTTTGGTTTGAGGGATCGGACTTTATGAGAGTCTATAGACTAATTTGAGCTTCATCAATAATACATAAAAGGGCTCTAGATGTTCACATCATTTTGTCCGTCCACATGGTTTTTTTTCCCCTCCATTCTAGCCCGATGTCTGTCCACATGGTTTTTTTTTTCCTCTCCCTCTATTCTAAACCGACTGTGGTTGAGGGATAGGAAGAGATGGTGCTGTCTGGTTTAATAACTAGCAGCGCATATGGCTAGTCAAGGAAAGAAGTGGTCATACAACAATTATGGAAAGAAGAATAATCTGCATTCCTAACATTTTAAGAAATCATGGTTGTATCAAAGGTGACAAATAATTTACCTCTAACTTTCTAGTATCATCAGCATCTTGGACATCCTCATAGCGAACCTTCACCCTATCATGCCGCCTTTTGAGAACCACACAACGGAACCAACATCCTCTGATGCCACTATCTTGAGAGAGCACCTCAACATAGCACCCAGGATCCAGATGTCTTTGCTGTTGAACAAGCCTCAGCTTCAGTAACTCTCTCCTCGTCAAAGAGGGTTCAGAGGAAGTCCTCACGTGCTTTTCCCTACCGCTACCTGAAATGCTTGTACTTCTATGACTTCCATTGCCACCACGTGTTATTTTCAACCGCAGCTTTAGTGCAGTGTCCGGAGTTGCATATAAGGATCTAAGCAACTCCTGTTTCCAATAACCTTGGACTTGTGTGACGTCAAAAGGCTTAACCTCACCATTGTCAATCTGTCTTCGACACAAATATGGCTGCCAGGAGCCAAATCTTTTTCTATCCTCTTTCTGATACCTGTCAAAGTCTTGGACACCAAGGACAGTAGCCAATCCATCTATGCACTCAATGCTGAAATCTTGAAGACAAAGAGAAAAGAAAATCTCTTTGTCGTTAGTGTCAGAAGGCAAAACAATACCAACCTCATCAATCTTATGAAACCAGCGTACCAAAACCATTTTGTTAGACTTTGCGTCTTCATATAGATCTTCCACATATGCAACAAGCCTCTTGTACTCTTCACCCATTATGTAGATGAAGTCGTTGACCTGTTACAAGTAGCATATGATATGATTAGTTACACTTAAAACAGATTAACTTGAAACTCAATTAAAAGACTCCTCATAAAAGAACTTACCGAGATTGTCACTCCACTTCGGCAAAAGAATCGATAATGCTTTCTTTTCTTCTTGCAATCCCAAGAATGACCTAACCATGAAAATTCTTTAGAAAGGTGTCCCATGGTCCCAGAGGAAAGGCCCTAAATGAACCAAAAAGAGAGAAATCAGAGGGAAGGAAATGGGTGTGCTGGTTGAATTCAATTGCCTAGATAAACTATAGTAGTAAGCTTAATTAGTGGAAATAAACAATTAGGTTTTGTTTCGTCACCCTACCTTTGGTATAGTAGAAGGTTCAGCATCATCCGCAAATCTATCATCCATAAGCAAGGATGTGCAAGGTATATTATCTGCACAAAGAAAAAATATTGTCAAAAATAAGCTTAAAACAAGTAATTTGAGAATGGAAATACAAATTTCCAACAATGTGTGAAATATGACTAAGGTAGGTCATTTCTATCATAATCATTATTACTCCACCATCAATCCACTTTGCTATAAATTAGAAGCGAATATGTTTGACATTTTTATTTCATTTTTAATTTCAGGTTTCCGCTTATATACTTTTTATCTTTATATTGTAGTATCTTTATATATCAGCCTGTTCTAATGCTCTTCGAATTTTTTTGAGAATATCTGTGGGGTAGAATGATAGTGTTCGTACTTTAATAGATTATGCCACACAGTAATTCATGCTCTATTTCATCAATCTACAGAAAATGTTATATATATATAGAATGTGAGACTTAACCTAATAGGGGGGGAACCACATACACAAAGTAGAAGCTAACCTTTTTGAACCTTGATAACATCCAAGTCAAAGTTAAATATTTTTTTACTATCCAAAGTTTAAAAAATGGTGTTAATTGTCAACGACAGATAGCTCAATAATAATGTTGATACGGTGGTAAATACTTGAGAGCATTTCTTTGGAATATTTTCACCAAACTTCGAAGTAACACTTTCAAAACTTGAATATGTTTTCCCTGTGTGAGGGTGTTAATTTGTTTGGGCCCAAAAATAATTGTCATAGACAGATATCTAAATCATATCTATATCATAGTAAATTAAAATTTAGCCCCAAATGGTCATCATATTTTAATTTTATTCTACACCTAACTTTAAAGAGAATAGCATTAGAATATTTTTTTAAATGATTAGTTTTTTAGAAATGATTAAACTATGGGTGATGAATAATCCATGACTTTGTTATGATCAAATGGCAAATAACCCTTCATCTTTATCTTCAGTTAACATTTATTACCCCTTAACTTGTATGCCAGCATTTATCATCAGTAATTGGTAAGGAGAGGGAAGTTATCTACAATTTATCCTTCTCGAACAGCAAGCAAGATGAACCTAAATGTTTAAATTGGGTTATTTGCACTTAAATACCCAAATATTACACATTTCTAACCAAAGAAGTTTAGTTTTCATGCCCCCTCTTAAATATTTTTGAGTTAGGGTGAAAGATCATAATCCTCAATTGTATGATTTGAGTGCACATAGCTTCAAAAAATATGAAGCATATGCAAATTAGAACAAGTAAAGAACCTCTAGGTTTGGAAGCAATCCTTGTATTGTATAGAGCAAACATCTTGATCTATCAGTCTATTCGAACTTATACTCAGAGTCAGGTGCATTATGATTCAATTAAGTATTTGACTATGTGCAATGCACGTGCATTCCACCTAGTAAACAAAAGAAGAAATCTACTTAAAATTGAAATGAAATATGGCAACAGAACCTACAAAATTTTCAAGGTGCTGCCTTAATTTCTTTCTGATTTATGTGAAACCCAAATTACCAAAGTTCTCAAACCTTAAGAAAAAGGAAAACTTTGGGGCGAAACAATATTCAGCATTTTAGCTAGTTTCTCCCTAGCCAATCAAACAACACATATCAGAAATACAATAAAATTGGAAAAAAAATCGAATAAAATAACAGATTCATAAGAACACCCCAAGTTCCTTCCAATAAAGTTAACTTCGTTTTCACCTCAATAAAAATCTATCTTTGATCTAGAAAGCATAGAAGCTATACGACAAATCAAATTCGCTTGCGTAGTGAGAGAGAATTTAATTTGAAAAACAAATTGACAGGTCATTTAATTACCTGTATCTACAGACTAAAATTAATCAATTCTTCACATAGATGATTCGGGAGAAAGAAAATGGGGAAAATCTAAATCTTTAGGCTTGATGCTTTGGTAAACAAAACCCCATATTTCCCCATCATTCAAACGCAACTGAATCAAAAAAGAAGAACCAAACAAAACATTCATAATCCTTGGTTCAAAGCCAGGTAAAAAGACAACGCTAAAAAATAATTCACCTGATTCAGCAAATCCCCAATTAATCCATCCTTAAAGCTCTCAGAACCGCAAAAGTAATTTTCCGAGGCTAAAAGGATGACTACAAATCCATCAACGGGGGGAAAACCAGAAACCTTAAAAAAAGATCAACTCAAAATCGATAACCCATCATTAACCATGAGCAATTCTAGAAAACAAATCGGCCAGATTCAGAAAATCCCAAATTTCCCCATCCCAGACCACAAAAAGCAATCTTTCGGAAAATAAACAAGACAAAACAACAAAATAACAAATTTTCCAGGCAAAAATGCTAATTAATCATCAGGACCAAAAAAATCATATTTTCTCACCGGAAACAATCGAACCCAGCCAATAGATAAGCTCCCTCCTCGATTTCCACTTCATGCGCTCACCAAAATCCCTAACCCCAAAATCCAACGCCGACGAAGGCGAATAAGAACCGTAAGACTCCGAAGAAGAATGTCAGGAACAGGTGAGGATTGCACTGGAAGCTGGCCAACAGGAACTCAAATTGAACCTGAGAATTAGACAGAGGCTGAAGAATGTGCACATTGGCGAAGAACTGGAATGATTCCAACTCGAAGGGCTCTTGTGCACATTTGTTAGCTCAGAAACAATTACAGACAATTATAATAAATGTTGGAGTTGGTTACAACAGTTAGAGATGGTTAATTATGTTGTTTGTTAGTTGGTTACAACCGTGCACGTTTTGTGCACGTTTTTGTATTTCTTTTGTTTTGAGCGAATATAAAAGGAGAGAAAGGAAACTGTAATGATATGAATTGAATGAGAATTTTTCTTCCTCCTAAACTCTGAGCTCTGTTCTTCCTTTTCCTAACTCCTCTCTTCCTCCATTGTTACAATTCTCACTTATTTCCCTGTTTCAAGTCTTGATTATTTCGGTCATGGCAAGAAATAACAACTTGAGGTCTAATCGGGGTGCACGATCCTCTCAATTGGTATCAGAGCAGCAGGAAGCTGAAGCTGGTGCTGATGAATTCTTGGATGATCAGGAAGGAGCGGATGCTGAAGATATTGTTTCAGAGGAGAAAATTGCTCGATTAGAAGATGCTGTCCTTCGAAATAGTTCCTTCTGCAATCAACAGGAATCATTCAACCAGAAACTCTCAGCAAGGATGGATGATCTCCAGCTCCAACTATCTTCAAAAATGGAGATTATTATGCAAGAGATCAAGAACCTCAAGAGTCCAGACCAAGGAACTCTGGGAATTGGCTCAAGAGAAGGGAGAGAGAAAACAAGGACAGGAGCTGGGGAATCTAACAGGAATGATCAAAGCAATGGATATCTTCCTCCACATAGAAGAAATGTTGAATTCAGTGGAGAATTTCAATCTATTAGCAGTTTTGGTAACTCCTCAACTCAGAGAAACTCCTTCTTTAGTAATCAAAAACTTGTTCAACCAAAGTCTTTGCGTTTGGATTTTCCCTCTCTTTCTGGGGCTGAGGATGTTATCGCTTGGTTAGAACAAACCGCACAAATCTTTGAATATTATGATATTAAAGAAGATGAATGGGTCAAGGTCTGTTCCTTTTACCTAAGGGGTGAGGCTTTACAGTGGTATAGGTGGCTGACAAGAAATATTGATAATTATCAGTATTGGTCTGTCTTTAAAGAGGAATTAATGACAAGATTTGGCCCCAGTGAACTGTCAAGGCCATATGATGTTTTTTCAACTATGAAACAAACTTCCACGGTTAGAGAGTACCTGGGGAAATTTGAACAAACCTTAGGGTTACTGGAGGATCAACCCTCTAGAAGGCACATCCTTGAGAGATTTATAGGAGGGTTGAAGGATGAGCTTAGGTTTGAGGTTGCAGCTGGCAGACCTTCTTCTTTGAAGGAATTTATAGGAGGGTTGAAGGATGAGCTTAGGTTTGAGGTTGCAGCTGGCAGACCTTCTTCTTTGAAGGAAGTTGTGTCATTAGCCAAGCTATTTGAAGACAAACAAAGAAATGAAAAAAAAAAGTAAAGGGAATTGGAATGTTTTTAATCAAGGAAATTCATATAATCGTACCCTTCCTGAAGTGCCTGTACAAGACAAATCAAAATTTCCTCAGTTCAAGAAGCTTACACCTGAAGACATACAAAAGAGAAGGAGTCAGAATCTATGTTTTACATGTGATGAAAAATGGCACAGAGGACATCAGGGTAAAGGTAAGCATATATTCATCTTAGAAGGAGTCTTAGAATGTGGAACTGAGGAAGAGATAGAAGATCATGGGTGCAATGATCAAGAAGACCTGGCCATTGAATTGGCTGAAAGTCTGGTAAGAGGAGCTCCTTCTATCTCAGTCCAAGCTCTTAGTGGAATCACAGCCTCCCATACCATCAGAGTTGTGGGGTATTACAAGAATCAAGCCATCAGCATCCTGATTGATTCTGGTTCTACACATAATTTCGTCAATTCAAAGTTAGTTAAGAGACTTGGATTACCAGTGACAGAGTATAGCAATTTTGATGTTCTTGTTGCAAGTGGAGAGTTAATTAAGGGAGATGGGGTGTGCCAAGGAGTGTCATTGGATTGTCAAGGAGTGAGCATTCAAGTAAATCTGTTAGTGATGCCATTGGGAGGTAGTCAGATTGTGTTAGGGGCAGATTGGATGAAAACCTTAGAAGATATCACTTTGAACTTCAAAAAGTTACAGGTAACATTCTTATGTGAAGGAGTAAAGAGAACTCTACAGGGAATAGTACCAGGAGAGTTACAATTGGTTAGTGAGAAAGATATTGCTAAGTCTGTTAGGGAGCAAAAAGAAGGATACTTAATTCAATTATGCAGTGTAAATTTGCAAGAACCTGTTTCAAGAGCTATTCATGAAGAATTACCTGCAGATATCAACAGCTTGGTACAAGAGTTTGATGTTATATTCCAAGAACTACCACATCTTCCTCCTGCTAGAGAGATTGATCATAAAATTCCCTTGGAAACTGGAACAAAACCAGTATGCATTAGACCTTATAGGCATGCACATTTCTTGAAAGAAGAAATTGAGAAACAGATTGAAGAGATGCTGGAAAAAGGGATCATCAGACACAGTCATAGCCCTTTCTCCTCACCAGTAGTGATGGTCAAAAAATCTGATGGGAGCTGGAGAATGTGTATTGATTATAGATCCCTTAACAAAGCTACAATTAAAGACAAATTTCCTATTCCAATTATTGATGAGTTATTGGATGAGTTACATGGGACACAGTTCTTCACAAAACTGGATTTAAAGTCAGGGTATCATCAAATAAGAATGTGTGATTCAGACATTCCCAAAACTGCCTTTAGAACTCACAGTGGGCATTTTGAGTTCTTAGTAATGCCTTTTGGACTCACCAATGCCCCTTCAACATTCCAGGCCCTCATGAATAATATTTTCAAAGATATGCTCAGGAAATTTGTTTTGGTTTTCTTTGATGATATACTAATATACAGCAGAGGGTGGCAGGACCATTTGATTCATCTGAGACAAGTATTTCAGATCCTCAAGACACATCAATTGGTTGCTAAGATGTCCAAATGTAGTTTTGGACAAACACAGGTTGAATATTTGGGGCACATTGTGTCTCAGACAGGAGTTAGGGTGGACCCTAAAAAAATTCAAGCAATTACAGATTGGCCAACACCTCAGACACTCAAAGGATTGAGAGGATTTTTAGGCCTAGCTGGATATTATCGAAAATTCATCAAGGGGTTTGGAACAATAGCTCAACCTTTAACACAACTCTTGAAGAAAGGAAATTTCTTATGGGGTGCAAGTGCTGAAGAGGCTTTCAATTCTCTTAAAACTGCCCTCACCAATTCTCCAGTTTTGGCTATGCCTGACTTTAATATCAATTTTGTCATAGAATGTGATGCATCAGGCACAGGAGTTGGGGCAGTATTAATGCAAAGAGAAAAACCTATTGCATATTTCAGCTTTGCTTTAAAGGGAAAAAATGCTACTCTATCAACATATGAAAAGGAACTGTTAGCTATAATTCTTTCTACAAAGAGATGGCAACAGTACTTGTTAGGAAGGAGTTTTGTGATAAGGACTGATCATCAAAGTCTTAAATATATACTTGAACAAAGAATACATACAGGTATTCAAAACAAATGGTTGGCCAAGTTGCATGGATATGATTATATTATGGAATACAAACCTGGAAGGATGAACAAAGCTGCTGATGGATTATCAAGGGTATATGAGGTTGTTGAGAATGATGCAGAAGTTTCAGCAATTTCTTTTGTCAGGAGTAACTGGTTAGAAGATATCAAACAAATGAATCTGACTGACCCTTTCTACAAAGAGCTAGAGTTAAGACTACAACAAGAATCAGAAGCTACTGGAGAATATCTTACAAGGGAAGGGATTTACTACTACAAAGGTAAAATTTTGGTTAGTCCCACTGCACAAAGCTTAAAAAATTCCTTATTACAAGAACATCATGACAGTCCTACTGCTGGACATTCTGGTATTGCTAGAACCTTACACAAGTTGAGGAGGGTTTTTTATTGGAAGGGCATGAGGAAGGATGTTCAGAATTATGTACAGGCTTGTGATGTATGCCAGAGAGCAAAAGGGGAAAATGTAGCTTCCCCAGGACTTTTACAACCTAATCTATCTTTGATCTAGAAAGCATAGAAGCTATACGACAAATCAAATTCGCTTGCGTAGTGAGAGAGAATTTAATTTGAAAAACAAATTGACAGGTCATTTAATTACCTGTATCTACAGACTAAAATTAATCAATTCTTCACATAGATGATTCGGGAGAAAGAAAATGGGGAAAATCTAAATCTTTAGGCTTGATGCTTTGGTAAACAAAACCCCATATTTCCCCATCATTCAAACGCAACTGAATCAAAAAAGAAGAACCAAACAAAACATTCATAATCCTTGGTTCAAAGCCAGGTAAAAAGACAACGCTAAAAAATAATTCACCTGATTCAGCAAATCCCCAATTAATCCATCCTTAAAGCTCTCAGAACCGCAAAAGTAATTTTCCGAGGCTAAAAGGATGACTACAAATCCATCAACGGGGGGAAAACCAGAAACCTTAAAAAAAGATCAACTCAAAATCGATAACCCATCATTAACCATGAGCAATTCTAGAAAACAAATCGGCCAGATTCAGAAAATCCCAAATTTCCCCATCCCAGACCACAAAAAGCAATCTTTCGGAAAATAAACAAGACAAAACAACAAAATAACAAATTTTCCAGGCAAAAATGCTAATTAATCATCAGGACCAAAAAAATCATATTTTCTCACCGGAAACAATCGAACCCAGCCAATAGATAAGCTCCCTCCTCGATTTCCACTTCATGCGCTCACCAAAATCCCTAACCCCAAAATCCAACGCCGACGAAGGCGAATAAGAACCGTAAGACTCCGAAGAAGAATGTCAGGAACAGGTGAGGATTGCACTGGAAGCTGGCCAACAGGAACTCAAATTGAACCTGAGAATTAGACAGAGGCTGAAGAATGTGCACATTGGGGAAGAACTGGAATGATTCCAACTCGAAGGGCTCTTGTGCACATTTGTTAGCTCAAAAACAATAACAGACAATTATAATAAATGTTGGAGTTGGTTACAACAGTTAGAGATGGTTAATTCTGTTGTTTGTTAGTTGGTTACAACCGTGCACGTTTTGTGCACGTTTTTGTATTTCTTTTGTTTTGAGCGAATATAAAAGGAGAGAAAGGAAACTGTAATGATATGAATTGAATGAGAATTTTTCTTCCTCCTAAACTCTGAGCTCTGTTCTTCCTTTTCCTAACTCCTCTCTTCCTCCATTGTTACAATTCTCACTTATTTCCCTGTTTCAAGTCTTGATTATTTCGGTCATGGCAAGAAATAACAACTTGAGGTCTAATCGGGGTGCACGATCCTCTCAAAGAACCGCTGCTCGACGCCGCCGACATCATCGCCGAGAACTGCGTCGTGACAACGTAGCTCATGTGCCTCAAGCTCTTCTCTCTGCCAACAACAGCCAAAAACCTTTTCCCCTCTCGATTTCTCAAATAGTAGTGAACAAGACGCCGCCCTTTGTCGTTTGAGATCACTTTCTCTTCCCAGCTCACGAACGCCATGGCCCTAATCCTAACCCTAGCCGCAAAAAAATCGAATCTTTCTATTGCTTCCTTATTTTATGCGAGGGAGGAAGGAGAAAGGACGAGATGAAGAGGGGAGAGGGAATATTTGGAGGTCCGGAAATCGACGGCGGATACTTTGTTTGTGATTCGCACGTTTAAGCCGGCGGAACCGCGTCGAAGCTACCTCTATTTAATAGCTAATTATCCTGTAAATACCTTGTATTTCCCTCTAGAGAGGCGCTACAGTCACACCGTAAATCACACCTCTAACCACACTCCTCTCTCGCTACAGTATATTAAGGCCCACACGAGAATTTTAAAAAAATTCTCATGTGAGTCCCAGTGCACTGCAACGAGAGAGGAGTGTGGTTGGAAGTATGGTTTAAGGGTGTGTCTCTAGCATTTCCTTTTCCTCTATTTTGCACCTATATGCCATCACATTTTTTTTCGCAGAAATCGTATGCAGTTTGATTTCTAAAAGTTTCACTTTAATAATTAATAATCTATGTTATGCAAACGTGAAAATTTAGCTTGGAGTTTACTCATGTGATACTCATAAGCTAATTATAAACCTTTTTATCTTTAATGTTTGTTAAACATAATCTAATCTTATTTTAAATCTATCTAAGTTATATCTTAAAATATAATTATAGTGGTTTTAACAAAAAATTTAACAATTATTAAGAGCTAAAAAGTTGTAAATTAGTTCATAAGTGTCACATGAGAAAATTTAGAGTAAATTTATCACGTTTAGAATATATTAAAGTGCAAACTTTAGAAACTTATAATATATAAATGTTGTCAAAAATAAATGAGGGTATATAAGTATAAAGTACTAAGGTGACTTTGGATAGCTTTTTTAAATAGGGGAAAGAAGGGGTTAGGAGTTTTGTTATACTTTTTAGTAAGTTGGGGGAAGAATTAGAACGGTTTAAAAAGAACAAATTTCTTATTTTCTTAACCTTTCTAAAGTAAACAGATTGGGAGGGGAAATGTTGGATTTTAAGTGAATATGTCCATTCTATTCCTATTTTCAATACTATAAACAAATATAAATTAGATCAACCATTCTCCATCCCTCTTCATTTCCTAATTGTCTATCAAATATAATTAGTTTCATCATACTCTATTCCTCTTCTTCTTGTCCCTTTGGGTTTAGTTCAACCATCCCCTCTCCTATCCTCTTCTCTATGTTGGGGGGACTTTCATTAATATATTTAAGTGCTCATCAGTCATATTTAATCAAGGGGTATTTTCACAAAACCCTTAAACATTGCGTGTTTCACACATAAACTCTCTAAAAAAATTTTGTTAAGGAGTTGTTAGTTTCACAGCAAGCCAAAGAAATGGGGTCAGAGGAAAATGATTCCCCTCTGACACTTATTTTCGTAGGGGCTGTTTGGATGCATTTAGGAAACTAGAGTATTTATGACACAAAATAGAAAGTGGTTATCCACCTCACCACTTTCCATTCGAGTGTTTACATTATTTGGTTAGGAATCTTTGTGAATCCTAAAATATAGTATTACATTGTTTGGATAGTATAATGTAAACTAGAGTATTTATGACACAAAATAGAAAGTGGTTATCCACCTCACCACTTTCCATTCGAGTGTTTACATTATTTGGTTAGGAATCTTTGTGTATCCACCTCACCACTTTCCATTCGAGTGTTTACATTATTTGGTTAGGAATCTTTGTGAATCCTAAAATATAGTATTACATTGTTTGGATAGTATAATGTGAACTAAAGTATTTATGACACAAAATAGAAAGTGTTTATCCACCTCACCACTTTTTATAAGGTTTTGACTTTTTTATTATTTTTTTGGATACATTTATGATATTGTGTCAGCTTTCCAACAAAATCACTCCTAAGGGGCTGTTTGGTTGTTGTTGGTAAAGTTATGTATTTATGACACAACTTGGAAAGTTGTTGTCCACCTCATCAATTTTACTTTTATACTTTTCTTTGTTTGTTTTTTATTCCATTGGAATCATAAATTGCTTGTTTGGTTAGTAAATGTAACTTTAATTGTTTGTTTGGAAAGTATAAAAAGTGGTCCCTACTCAAATGATCATATTGGTTGGAATTATTTTTTATTATTTTTTCCTGACTTCAACGTCAGCTTTCTCTTAAAATCATATCTTTTTTTTATGAAATCACTTTACAAGCCACATCAGCATATGAAATCACTTTATACTATTTTCACAACTACAAACAAACAATTGAAAGTGATGAAAGCTGACATTGGGACCCACTTTTTTACACTTTCCATCATTTTACATGGTAAAAACATACAACCAAACAGCCCCTAAATTTGGTGATTTTGCTTTTGGTGACACCTCATCAAAAGGTGTAAGCTTTTCATGTAAAAGAGAATTCAAACAAACAATGTAAAGTGATGAAAGCTGACATTGGGACCCACTTTTTTACATTTTCCATCATTTTACATGGTAAAAACATACAACCAAACAGCCCCTAAATTTGGTGATTTTGCTTTTGGTGACACCTCATCAAAAGGTGTAAGCTTTTCATGTAAAAGAGAATTTAAACAAACAATGTAAAGTGATGAAAGCTGACATTGGGACCCACTTTTTTACATTTTCCATCATTTTACATGGTAAAAACATACAACCAAACAGCCCCTTAGTTTGCTTGGAAAAAAAGTGAAAAGAGTGTGTATGGGACCCACACTCAAAGATGCTATTAATGCAGCAGGTCCTACAAAGCCCATTTCGAATTGATTTGGGAGGACATAGAGGGTGTTTGGGAGGACTTATTTTTTGAAGCTTATCAATTATACTAGCTTATAATGGCTTTTAGTTTTTTTGATAAAAATACTATAAAAATTGTTTGAGTATAATAGTAATTTGCTCGGTCAAACATACTCTTTTTAAGTGAGCTTATTACCTAATTTTTTAAAAGCTGAGCTATACTAGCTTTTCAAAATAGGACTTATAAGCTTTCTTACTAATTATGGGCGGGTTGGATTAGTAGTTGGAGCATCATGTTATCCTAACTACATCTAAAATCCAAAAGACTTGTTGGGTTTGATGTTGTTGAAATATCAAAAGTTTGTTGCAACAATAAAATAAGTCAAAAATAGAGGTGTTGGAACGACACTCAATTGTAAGAGTGTTACAACACCATGAATTGAACACCATTAAACATTTGTTGTTCTAACCCCCTCCAACCAAACATACCTTATATGTGCATTTTAATGTTCAATTTTGCCATACGTGGAGTTCGAATTTTTCTTATTGAATTTTATCTAGGGTTTTTGTTTTTAGACACATTTGTTTACTCAACTTTATCTTTAAATCCAAGCATTATGTTTTGTATCTTTAGGCCCAACTCTCCTTTTGTATTTATCTTTAAACCCAATCTCTAAAATACAATACTTAAAAACTTGTATTTATACAAAAACAGTGTAAATATCCCAAAATACCCCTTTCATTGGCCCATATAAACCCAATTCCCTCTCCTCATTTGCCCCTTTTTTTAATTTCAGCCCTAATTGAAAAACAAAAAATCCCCCTTATCGTGATCGTCGTCGTCCGCCATCGTCCCTGTTGCCCGTCGTCATCCCCGTC